ATCTATGCAGTAACCCGATCCCCGTATAAAAGTGGTTCAACGGATAAGACCGCGTGCTAGTGACTTACGCCTCAAGCGGAGGGGTGCAGGTTCGAACCCCGGCAGAGGTCAATTTTTCTAATTTTTAAATTTTTTTCTTTCTTTTTTTCCCTTATATTTTTTATTTAAGCTATATATTCGTGGAAGCAACGTGTGAGTCGTGGTATGGTTGATAGCGCCATGATAAAGAAATTTGTAGATTTGGTTGTTAGGGGTTCGGTCCTGGAAACGGATTAATTTTTAGTTTTTTTTTCTAGCTACTTTATTTTATTTTTTAAAACTTATTTGTCGATATTTCAACGTGAATAAAGTGTTATATATATAAAAATAATTATTTTTCTTTCGGATAGAGTGAATATTAGCTAAAAAAGGAATAAATATCGACTCCGGAGCTACGCATACGACTCTCTCCGTAACTCCCTCTAATATTAACTTATAATTTTCAAACTCTGCCAGTAATTAGAGTTTTATATACCAAACAATCGTACCAAAGATAATTTTTATACACTAATTAGGGAACACATAATGGGCCAAAATAGATTTTGTTAATTAACCGGAAGGAACTTCATTAAGCTACATATTTGTGGAAGCAACGTGTGTGTCGTGGTGAGGTTGTTAGAGCCATGGGTAAAGAAGTTTGTAGACCCTGTGGTCAGGGGTTCGGTGCTGATCGGACATTAATTTTTAATTTTTTTTTCTTTTCTTTCTTGTTTATCATTTTTTACATTTCATTTTTCGATATTTCAACGTGAATAAATGTTCGCTTCATAAAAATAATTCTTCTTCTTTGGGAAGTAGGAAATATTAGCAAAAAAACGGATTAACTTCGACTCCGGAGCTATGCACACGACTCACTCCGTAACTCCCTTTAATATTAACTTATAATTTTGAAACTCTGCCTTAAATTAGAGTTTTATATACCAAGCAGTCGTACCAGAGATAATTTTTATAGACTAATTAGAGAGCACATAATGGGCCAAAATAGATTTTGTTAATTAACCGGAAGAAAGTTCTTTAAGCTATATATTCGTGGACGCAACGTGTGAGTCATGGTATGGTTGTTAGCGCCATGATAAGGAAGTTTGTAGACTCGGTGGTTAGGGTTTCGGTCCTGGTAACGGATTAATTTTTAGTTTTTTTTTTCTAGCTACTTTATTTTATTTTTTAAAACTTATTTTTCGATATTTCAACGTGAATAAAGTGTTATATATATAAAAAATAATTATTTTTCTTTCGGATAGAGTGAATATTAGCTAAAAAAGGAATAAATATTGACTCCGGAGCTACGCATACGACTCACTCCGTAACTCCCTCTAATATTAACTTATAATTTTTGAAACTCTGCCAGTAATTAGAGTTTTATATACCAAACAATCGTACCAAAGATAATTTTTATACATTAATTAGGGAGCACATAATGGGCCAAAATAGATTTTGTTAATTAACCGGAAGGAACTTCTTTAATATTAAGCTATAATTTTCAAACTGGGACCGAAAGTTGGCCTCTTTGAGCCGAACCTATCTACCTACCAATGAAAATTTTTATAGATGAATTAGGGGAGCTGAAATAGCTTCTTAACATTTTGAATCAATGAACTGCCCTAAGTAATTGCAGCGGGAAAAATAATTTAAATGTGAATGAAGAATTTAAAACCAACTGATGTAAAAACAACGCGTCTTAGGATCCTCGTAGATATTCATAAATGTATAAATTTAATTTGTGCTGTGTAAGAGTAACACTAAGTATGCCCAGCGATAACAACGTGGATCGATTTAAACGTGGAGGGGTTTAAAACTTCCCTTTTTTTTTAAATGATCTACAGAATATTCTTTTCAAAATTCGATTCAGAAAATTATATAATGATTGGAAGCTGACCAAGTGGACCTACGTATAGGCGTATTCTCTAATCAAAATGAAAACCTAAGCAGAAGATTTGTTAATAATTTTGAGATGAGTCATTACAACTAATAATTATGTTTTTGTTCCTAGAGAGAATGTGCCTCAACATATACCCCTATATATATCTAAATTATCTAATCGATAAAAAAGTCGTTTGGCTGGATAAATCAATACCTTAATTGCAAATTCATCCATTGCTTTAATTTGCAGTCTTAACGAATGTCCCGCTTTTTTCCTCTGTTCTATGCGAATCTATTTCATTGTTGACACATGTGTTAATAACAATAATAATAGAAAAAAAAAATGGTTGAAAATTGTGTCCCTTACACGATTTGAATAGTATTTAAGAACGTCAATTATCTAGGTTTTTTTTAAACCGGTTTAAGAAATACAAACTATTTGCAAAAAGAATATGCGCAAATAAACGAGTGAGTCATGGTGGTTCAGGGTACAGAGAACTCGCCTACCGGGGAAGTGCCTACCGTTTTAAACTTCTCGGTGCTCATAATTTTAAAAATGTGCCATGCTCAGAACTAAATCTCTTCCGACAAATGTGATTTTACCATGGAGATTAGAGTATGGATTTTACACAAGTGTAAATTTATACTGTTGTTGTTGTTGTTGTTAATTTACGTCGCACTAGGCTGCACAATGGGCTATTGGCGACGGTCTGGGAAACATCCCGGAGGATGATCCGAAGACAGGCCATCACAATTTTGATCCTCTGCGGAGGGGATGGCACCCCCGCTTCGGTAGCCCGACGACCTGCGCGCGAAGTCGAGCACTTTACGGTAGCACAGTTTAACGAGGACCAATACCGCACACCCTCGGTCCCTACGCAGACTGATCCAAGTGGTCACCCACCCGCACACTGACCGTAGCCAGTGATGCTTGACTTCGGTGATCTGCTGAGAACCGTGTCTTAACGATCAGTCCACTGCGGGACATAAATTTATATAAAACGCACACTGCTCGTATTGCGGGGCTATCAACAGAAGTGATGACTTCCTCCTGGAATGTCCCTTACTCCTGAACGTTCGAAAGGAACTTTACCAGTTCTTATTGCTTCTGAATCCAACATATATGCCGATATTGTGCTTTTAATCCTCGGACTAAACTCGAATCCCTCAACAATTTCTTCCAAGCCACAAACCGCTTCTGACTTATTACTCCAACCCCCGGTTATCTATTTAACCTTAATTCTAAACTCCATTAATGGAAATACAAAGCTATAAGCTAATGCAAAAAGCTCGTCGCATTCTTCTACAATCGAACTACAGCACCTAAATATTTGTCTTTCGGAAGCTTTGTTGTTGTTATTGTTTTTAGTTAAATTAAACTTAGAATAACATTGTAAATGCTTTGAAGAACGTTGTATAAGTTTAATTAAATATAACGCATAATCTATATTGTTAATTTATTCAATATTTAAGCAGATTGGACGTCTTCATAAACTCTTAAAAACTATGAATTTAAAGTTAGAAAATTCCTGTAATGTTAGTAATTTTGCACGTAAACAGCTCGAAAAATATGGATGGTCAGAAGGTGATGTATTGCCATTTTTTTAAAAAAAAATTATTTTAATGGACCGATAAAACTTTTATGCATTTCATAATTTATATAGAAGTATACTAGGATCATAATATTCATCCAGAGGCGATTATTAAGAATCAGAACTATTTAAAATAAATTCAAATTTGACTAACAGCTATTTAAAAATAAAAAAACAAACTGAGGTTGAAAAATAGAAAAAAAAATATATCCTCATAATTCTTGAAACAAAACTTAATTACTGAGAATAATATTTTACAGAAAAGACGTATTCATAAAATGCTAAAAAAGGGTGTAGTTCTTCAGAAACGCATGTAAATGTTGTAGGTTGTTATGAGTTAGAGGGGGCGATTTCCGTAATGTGATCTGTGGCTGAATAAGATCTGTGGCAATTCTTGGAAACTTCCGGGCAGTGGCCCGCGAGAAACTAGAAAAATTCACAGAGAAGGACCAACTCAGAAAGTATAACTCATAGCCACCCCCTGGCAAACATCTACATGTTTTTTTAAAAAAACATTTGCAAGCAGTAAAATCTCGATTAACCGAGGCAATAACGAAGTCTAATTTTTTTTCTCCTTTCCAAAATGAGCTTGGAAAAAATTCTACACATTTTAGTTCGTTGTCCGTATTACAGGCACTTCTTCCCCACAAAAGCCCTCAACTTTCAAGAAATATTACACTGAGAAGACAACATCTATGAATGCTGTGTTAACAGTGGTCATGTGACCCTATTGAATACCAGTTGATCTCCTTTTTAAATCTTTTTAGCTGTGAAACATAAGTTCATATATGTTTATTTTTATCATTTAAAAAACGTTCTATTGCTTTTAGTTTAAAAGTAGTTAAATTCGCAAGCAGGGAAGGTTTTTATACATGGTTTCTATTAACCGAGATATCCAATATCCGAGGTACTAGCGGTCCCAATTGGCTCGGATAATCGAGGTCTTACTGTATTGCGATAATTGTGCTACAGATCAGTATACAGAAATCGCTGTGTCATTATAAAAATGTCTATTGAAACCAATGCTTTATAAAAAATGAAATAGGTAGATGGAAAACAAAACAAAAATTCTTAATGTTTTAAAGAAAAATGTAATGTTAAAATATAACCCATAAAAAATAATATTCACCAGAAACATTGTGTTATAATGAAATTCTTAATAAAAAATAGAAGCAGGAAAATAATTGTTCTTAATTCAGAAATATAAGTTTAATGTGGACAATCACTATTTTCTATGTTACCGGTTATTTTTCTTACCTCACAAGAAAAAAGTGACAATAAAAGAAAAAAAATATTAAAAACTCTTAGTTAAAATGTTTCTACTAAAGGTGAAGCAGAATAACAGCACAGACGTAACAACAAAAAAAATCTTATTTTTTAAAGTAAAAAGTGTTAAAAAAAAAAAACCACAACCTTAATTTGCCTAAATATAATTTTAAAGAAAATCAGCAATGTTAAACTTATAGTTTAGTATTTGTTACATCCCTAATTCTAAGCATTTCTTAATTTCTGTATACTAAGTTTTTACTAAAAAAATATTTCGTGATTATCAGAATTATATTAAGTTTTGTCCTATTTTACACTCAGTTGAGTTGTGGCATTAAACAAAATTTTGTTTTATTTACATTCTTCAATTTGACTATTAATCTTTCCTCTTTTTTTAGGCAAAGGTTTAGGTAAAGATGGAAATGGAATAACAAAGCCAATAAAAGTTTCAATCAAGTTAGATAACCAAGGGGTTAGTTCAAATTCAACAATAAATTATCTCTATTCATTTTATGATGTTTATTTTTATATGCATGTTATTATTTCTCCCATATATGTGTCTATGTATTACAATGTTCATTTTGTACATTATACTCTTTCCTACATCATTTACATACTGTTGCTCAGTGGAAATTGCCATATGGATAACATTAAAATATTCTGGATTTTACCCTTGTAAAACAAATTCTCCTTTGAACATTTTTCTAACAGATAAAAATAATTTTTGACCAAGCTCGCTCTTTTTCTTTTTTATTCATTTATTTAAAAAAAAAAATTTTTATTAACTGTTTGTAGCTTTTTTGACGTTCTTTCTGTTCTAGCTTATTGTCCTTTTGTCTGTGAGAAGGGATTTTCCATATGAGTCAAAGTCAGAAAGGTGATGAGATGGGCAAAGCATGAGATTGGTGGTTATAGAAAGTATGGCTACATAAATTGTAAAATTTGCAATGGGATTTTTTAATGAATTTTGGAATTCTTGAATCATCAAAATAACGTTATACACTAAATAACTGGCTAGGTAATTCTTTATTTTTCTTGATTCTGGTGAATTTGATTTTTTTAGCGTTGAACAGTGATGACTAAAATGGGTTTTATAAAGCTTCTCTTGTTTAATTACTTTTCAGTATCCAACAGGAACACTGGCCCTTCGTAATAAAAGAACATATTTGAATAGCTTCCGAAGTTGATAAAACGTATATCAAATCGCCATGTCACATTTCCTTCAATATCTGATTTAATGCTTGCTTTAGATGGTTGTCATGAAAATGAGAAAAAAATTTCGGGGGATATACCCGCAAGTGTTCAAGAGTTGAAAAGCATACTTTTGAACCCAATCCAGAAGACAATGGAACTAATCCATATTTGCTGTACAATTCGAGCATAGCAATGATGATTACCTTATTAATCTATTAAATTTTAGTTCCCTATTTCTTATAACTATTTTTGTTATACTACCTCTACATCACTTCTTTAAATTATTTGCTTAAAATTATTTTAGCTTAATAAAATTGAAATTATTATTTGCTTAAAATTATTTAAAAAAAACTATTTTTGATTAAAATATTGAAATTTTTTATTGAAAGATTTTGTATAATTTTTTTGTTAATTTTTTGTTTGAGAGTAAAATATTGTATTGATAAAATTCTTGAAATTTACAGATAGGACACAATTGTCTCGATGCTTGGACTTCAATGTGGTGGTGTGACGCTTTTAATGCCGCATCTAAAAGAATCAAAGTTATAGAAACTGAAGTAAAATTCATTTTCAGATTCTTTATTTGTAAATTATGTACACAATTATTTTTGATATATTTTTAAATGTTACTGATAATTTTTTATTAATGAACGAAAATGCAGAGTTAATAAGTATTTAACTAATTTCCAATTTATTATTGTTCAATGTGTCTCTTTGTAATTTTTCGTTGTTAAAAAACATTAAATGTCAATTTGTGTATTTATTAGTTTGAATTCCTAAAGTTTATGAGAGAGATCTTTAATTTAAAAAAATTCCTACTATTTCCATATATTTTGATTTCTTATAATTTTTAACCTATGCTCATTTATTCAAGAATTGTGCAAAATCAAACAAATTTCTTTTCTTATATAAACTTTACTTTACAAAACTATTTTTAAAAAATTAATTTTATTAAAACAAAGATGATTGTGCTCCGGAAAAATCCCCAATTTTTCGCTTACTGCGATCCGGAAGTTTCCGGACATCTAAGGTTCAGAAGTTGCAAGAAATCATCGATCACATTTATGTATTGAAATTCTTGTATATTTTATTTAAAAATATTAGAACTAGAATTTATACTTGTCATCTCTTTTATTTGGAAATTTTTTTTTTTTTGGTAGCATAATAATTGTGATTAGAGATAAAAGTAAACTTATACATAATTATTCATTTAAATTATGTTGCATATAATTTATTTAGAATTTCATGTTATCACTGATTTACTTGGCATCTCTTTTATTTGGAAATTTTTTTTTTTGGTAGCATAATAATTGTGATTAGAGATAAAAGTAAACTTATACATAATTATTCATTTAAATTATGCTGCATATAATTTATTTAGAGTTTCATGTTATCACTGATTTAAATTTATAAGCACATTAATTATTGCGTCATTAATAATTTTACTCAAGACATTTTCAGGATTTTTGTGTTGGGCTCACAATCACACCTGTTAAGTGGAAAAGAAAGAAAAAAGTTAAAATTTTTGTCTAAATTTGGAAGGAAAAAAATACTTTGTTCTGAGGGACTGTGAAGTTTATATGTACATGAATATTTCCAATAAGTCATGAGTATAATGTATTCCCTAATAAGTAAATTAATTATAATTTACAAAAAATATAAATGTTTGTTTAAATGAGTTAATTTTTTAAATCAATATAAAGGGTTTAGTTTAGTTAACCTCAATATTTAGTACTGTTATTAGAATAAATTTCCAATTACGGGTTATTTTATTTTAATATAATAGTTTAGAAGGTCAACATTCTTTTCTATACAGCTGAGCATCTTCAACTTAACAAAAGAACTTCCAACTTAACAAAACTTTCAACTTAACAAAAGAACAGTTTCAAATTTCTGTCTTATTTATACATGACTGATAAATGAACTTGGAGTACTGATGGCTTCAAAACTATTTTTTTTTTTTTTGTTATCTCTTGCTTTGGAAAAAAGAAAAGTTAAAATGGAAGTAAATGAAATCTGATTTTGCATGTAAAGAATAAGATAACTGTTAAGTGTTTTTTTATAAGATAATTGTTTTTTGTTGTTATATTTTCAATAATTAAACAAATTTAGTTATTGGATGAATTGCAATTTGACAAATTTTTATTCATATTTATTTATTATTTTATACTTCAAAATTTGGGTTTTTGACAGTAATTTTAAAAATAGAAAGTTTTATTTTAAAATAATTCAAAAGCATAATTGATGGAAAACTTGTAATTTTAACTCTATGTTAATTTAAATATGCTTCATATTTATAATAGCTAATAATTATCCTTATGCCAGAATTTTGTGTTTTTAACAATTGTCAAAAACTATGTTAAAAGGTTTTTTTTTCGGCATGAGGGTTAAAATCGGATGAAACTGTTAATTGCCAAAAACTTGTCAACCCTGCCCAATTAAGATATTTTTTTAAAGTGCTTAAAAATACTTTTTGAGTGCTTGAAAAGTGCTTAAAAGGTGAATAATTTGGTTTTGTTAAATAATTTGGCTATGCACCCTGTAACTGTTACATTGCTCTCTTAAAAGTTATGTATTTATATTTTTTATAAGTAGTGTATTTTCTATGTGTTGTCTAAAGATCAACAATGTAAACAAATAATAATTAACAATAGTAAATTTGGTGAGCATACACAAGTAATTTTAGGAAAAACTATGAATTGCACAAAAATTTTTCAAGAATTCTGTTTTAAAATTGTAATAATAATTAAATATATAAAATATAAAGTTTACAATAGGTATTATATAAACTTATTGCAAACTATAATGTTAACAAAACTATTTCTTAATAATTTATACTTTTATGAAGAAGAAATGACAATATACTACTTATAACTTTATTAATTAAAGATTTTGTTGTTATTAGTATTATCAATGCAATTTATTTACTTACTACAACTTTCATTATTTATTTGAACTAATTTACTTGTAGTTTATTGTTAATAAAACTGCATCTCATTTTTTCTTTTTTTAAATTAATTTTTTTAATAATTCATTTACAAAGGCATATTTTTAAGAATAAGACAATCACTTTTTAATTTGTAGGGATGTAAAGAAAATTGAATATTAATCAAAAAATTGGTTTAGTGCGGTAAAAGAATAATTTTTAGAGATCAGAACTTTCCTTTGAACTGTACCATCCAGTAGATAAAAATTATGTGAAGAAGAGTCTAAATAGTCATAATTTTTTTCTTGATTGACCCTTGAAATTCAAATTTTATTCATGTTTCAATTTTAAATTCAATTTTATTAAAAGATTTTGTACATTTTTCTGATCTTTTTAGCAATTGTTGACAATCAGAAATGTTTAAATAGCTTATGTTTAATTGTAGATTTTACTTTTTCCTCCCTTAGAAAGGTGTGTGCATAAAAAGTGAAAAGTCTCAAACAAATGATTCACAGACTTCTTTAAGACATGCCAAGAAAAAGTTTGTAAGAGTAAGGCATTGTTTTATTATTCCTTTTTTGAATTAATATGACGTGTTTAGTAGTTCAGGTGGCGTGTTTCTGTAGGGCTGAGGTACGGACCAAATAACACAATGCAGCGAAACAGATACTTTTTTTTTAAATACAACAAATAACATTAATAATCACATGACAGTAAAAACTCCCCCTTTACCTATATATTGTCCACCAGACATATACAGTGTTGTTAAACAAATTAATTATTACCTTTATGCATTTGATTTTCTTAAAATAAATTTTGTCTTCAGAATGCATAGATATAAAAGTATGATTTTTTCCCTTGTGATATATATTTTAGAAAAACTTTGAGTGTTAGTAAGACATTTTTCACCTCTATAATTTCACTATTGTAAATTTTTGTGGGTATCATTAAACTAAATTGATATGTCACAGCATTCAATAACGCTACTCCATAACTGCCAATTCTACTGGATTTTCCAGTAGACTACTGCATTTTGCCAGTTTCCCCTGGTTTAATGAAATTTTTCCTGGTTTTTGTACATTTTAGAAAATTCCCTAAAATTTAGTAAGTTACCTAAAAAAAAATTCCCTATTGAAATAGAATTTTTGTACAGATTATGTATTGCTTGCTTGTTTGAATATTTGAATAAGTACTACTAATACATAATGAAGCAAAGCTCATTTATGGAAATCAGTTCATTACTTTTTTTGTTCAAAATGTTCTGTTTATTTTTATTCAGAACTCTCTTTTTAAATTAATTTAAAAAATCTTTTAACTATCTTTGATGAATTAAATGCCTATTAATATTCAAAATTATGAGTAAACTTAACATTCCAAGTGTAATTAATGACAATCATAGCTGGAAATATTGCAGTTTCTCTATTTTGATGGCTATAAAAATTCCTAAAATTCCCTATGTTTAAAATATTTAGCTACAGCTATACTACTCTATAATGGCAGACCGCATGTTCACTCAAATAGGTGTAAATAAAACCTAAAATGTAAATAATAAATAGGAATTTAGGAATGTCAGTTGCTCAGCCAGTCAACATTGTCGAATGCCTATGCGTTGAAATATAGAAAAGTTTGATGTTTACAATTCTGATAAAATAAACTATTTTAGAACAAAATAGCAGTTTAAAAATAAAATGGAAATCAAGAAAACCGAAACAGCATTTTCTCGTTGTCGTTTGTCTGGGCAACAATGGATAATTTTTTTCATGGCAGCCCAAATCAAATTTTAGTTGTCCTGGATCAAACACCACTGTTAATTTTCAGCCCTTCTTAATTTTATTATTTGACCTTTTAAAAAATACTATGACTAAATGGCAATGAATTAACAATTCTAGAAATCAATCTCTACAAAGTTGAAAAGATTTTACAAAAATAAATAAAAGATAATAAACAAAAGATAATAAACAAGTAATAAATATATGGAAAAATTTAAGAGTTCAATAAAGTTTAATTTTCATACTTTTTTAGAACTTTTAAATATTTTGATTATAATTTGATTAGTTACTTCTTGTAATGTACTTTAAATGTAAACTGGTGAAGTAGTAAGCACTTTATTTTGCATGCATGTGTAATGAGTGATATAGGTTTACAAAATTTGTAAATGATTATTACCATTGCCACTGTTATTCAATTTGTTGTTTAATTGGGAGTGACAATACAGTAATAAGAAATGACTTTTTATGTAGATATAAATTAATGTTTAATTTTTCATGAAAAGTTCAGACAATAAATACAAGTCATTATCATTTAAAATGTAATAATTGTTCTACTTGAAAAAAAATCTCTAAATGTTTTTTTCCCTCAAAATTGCCAATTATCAAATAAATGCAAATAGTAAATTTTGATTAAAGAATTTTTAAAGTAAATGTTTTTTCCTTTTTACTTCTGTTGAAGATTATTTTTGTTCTATGAAAAAGAATTAGTTTTTGTTATTGTTTACATTATTATTTTTTCTTTTAAATTAATCAAAAACAAAATACAAAACTTTAAAAGTTGTAATAATAATAATGATAAAAAAACTATAATAGTAATTTTTTCTCTCCATCCATTTTCTTGTCTTATGTAAAAGTTTAAAAAATTGAACTTGATTTAAGTGTGAGTAAACAAGAAAAATTCAGAACACTAAAGTATATTTAAGCAGTTGAAAACCAACTTCTTATCAACATTTCACCAAAATCCGGATTTCCTAATTTTTCGCTAACAGTGATCCGGAGATCGAAGGTCCAGAAGTTTAAAAAAATCATTGATCACAGAAGTTTCCAGAAAACAAATTTTCAAAGGTGGAACTTAAAAACACAGTTTATTTTATTTGCTTTGCTTGAGAGCCAGAGAGATACTTTATAAGCTTATATTCATGATTAATATTCATTTTTTATCAGTAAATAGTTGTTATAATCATAAACTCAAAAGAGAAAGACATATTTGTAAATTTTAATTACTTCTCCAGGTTATCATAGGTATGTGTAAATGGTATAGGTATGTGTAAAATTTTAAATATATTTTAAGTAAACTAAGAAATATTGAAAGAAAGGATAAAAAAAACCTTGTAAATTTTTTTTTTTAAACTCAAGAAATTTTCTGAAATTTTGAATTGGGCTCACAATCACCGCTGCACATCTTAACACATCTCGCTGAAAACATTTTTTACGAAATCATCAATATTTTTAAGGTACATTCAAACAAAGCAGTTTTATGTCATTGTGTCAATGAAACTAAAGGAGCTGAAAAATTTATCATTTTTGTCGCAGAAAAATAAACGTAACTCCCTTACTGTCAAACTAAATATACTTTTTTTTGTTCATTCCTAATATATGCTTATCTTGAATATGTAAATAATAATTGCTTCGTCTTTTGTAGGCAGGAGCAAATGCAGATAAAGAGGAAATTTTTGATGTGACCACTAATACTTTAATTCCTAACTTTTCAAATTGTTCAAGGTAAAATTCCTTTTTTTTTAAATTTTTTTTTTTAGAATTTTTAATTATTTGCATTCATTTGCTAGTGATCAATTAATTAAAGTTTCTTTCTCTAAGTTTAATATTTTGCAGTTTTTATCAAGTTTTTAAAGCTCTCTCTTTAGAAACACAATTTATAGTCATCTATCTATTTATAAATGAACATCTATTTGTGTGTCCTTTAAAGACTCCGAAACAATCTGACGAAAAGTAATAAAATTAGGCATACAGATAGTTTGAAGCACGGGAAGGGTCACATAAGATCATTCAACACCAAACTATTTGAGCAAGATGGTTAACAACTAAATGGAATTTTCTGATTGGTTAAGCATTTGCCAAATTTTAATTTTAATTGTAGACCATTGTATTTTTTAATTATTTTAAAGACAACGTCAGTGATATTTGCTAGCTTATAACTTTATTTGATCAAAAAAAGAGTTTATTTCATGTCCTTTATTATTTTAATTTTGTTTGGTGTTATGTCAGATAAATTCATTGAACAACATTAACATGCAGCATGCATGGACTATGTCACAAAATTAGTTTTTCTTAAGTTATCTGATATCACATGTTTATCTTGTTTATTGTAATTCTTTTAAAACTTGTTTCTATAAAAGTAATTAATAGTAAAGGTACTTGAGGCACTAGAGGAACCGTAAAAAATTGCCATGCTATTATTGATGACAAGGTTAATTGAAATATATATATATAAAACAAAAATAGCTTTTGTACTGAAAAGCAAAGTTAATGAAAAAAAATGATGATAATGAAGATATTTGTTTTGGGGCACCATTAAGAATTGCCATATTATTATTGATACCGATGCTTAATTTATATTGATGATAAGTATAATTGAAATAAAAAATAAGCTAAGTCCTGCAAACCAAAGTTAATGGTGAAAGAGTTGAGGAAAATTTGTTTTGGGCAATCGTAGAAAATCTCCATACACAGATGGCGCTTAATTAATTTTGGAAATATGTATTATTGGTGCCGCTCTGATAGGAATTCTGCAACAGGTTTTCTGTAGTGTTAGATATTTTTTCCAATGACATCAAAGATAGTGTATTACTATTTTAATGTATTAGAATTGAAAGTACTTTTTCCAATTCTTGTAAATATATTATACAGTTAATTAAAGTTCATATGAGAAAAAGGCTATGCTCCCAAGTTCATACATAAATTCTATTTGCTTTTAAGATTTCGGCTTTAGTTTGCTTCAAAATGACGATAGCGATTACAAATAGCTATAACTATTTTGAAAAAAAAATTATCAATAAAATTTACGCAGAATGTAGAAAGAACTTCAAAATTCTTTATAGATGCATCACAGATTTTCTATTACTTCCCTTGGCTGCACGGACAACATCTAGACGGTAGTCCATTTCACACCATACGTCAACGTTTTCCGCTGAAACAAGTGGCCTTCTGCTACTTTTCCTCTTGTACAAACATCCCATTACTTCAAACATCCTATGCCATCTGTGTATGTTGTTCTCATTTAGTGGTTCTTGATTGTAACGCTAATGAAATTTTTTCTGTACTGTGATAAGGAATGACACTTGTTAATTTCTAACGCACAGAATGCTTTCTGAACGGGACTGGTCATTTTCACTAATGAACTTGTAGATGCTCAGAATTCCGCTTCACTGCACCTTACATAAGGAAATTTTGAAGTTCCATCTATATTCTGTGTTAATCTTATCAATAAATTATTTTTCATTAAATAGTTATAGTTAATGACGAATATAATCAAGAAAAGAGTTTGTCAGAAACTATTTGTTTTATCACGACTATGTAAAGTCTTTGAAAATTATTTTCTCTTTTTTTTTAATGTATAAAGTGCTTAAAAAATTTTTTTTGAGTTCTTAAAAAATTACTTAAAATGTGCTTATTTTTTGAAAAATGCGGCTATGCACCCTTATATATTCTTGATTGTGTTTTTACTCTATATACTAAATGGGTTTATTTTATTTCAGCTTGAATGCTGTAAACATGAAGTACGATAAATTAAAAATCAAGTGAGTACAAATCTATTTTTATAAATATTATAACTTTTTGTTATGTTTTTTTTATGCATGCTTGAATATTTAAATAAGTATTACTGATACATAATGAAGCGAACCTCATTTGTTAAAATCAGTTCAAAACTTTTTTTTGTTCGAAAATTTTCCGTTTAATTTTATTCAGTATTCTCTATTTAAATTCATTAATAAAAATCTTTTAACTGTCTTTGATAAATTGAATGCCTATTACTATTTGAAATTATGAGTAAACATAATTCATAACATTTCAAGTATGTTTACTGTCAATCATAACTGGAAAATATTGCCGTTTTTCTATTTTGATGACTATGAAATTCCCTTTGTGTAAAATATTTAGTACTTTATGCAACAATTATCATGAAGAGTATATTATTTTGCAATATCTACTGGATTTTTTTCCTATCCATGTTGGCAGCTATGGGTTTACTTAAAAACTGTGTATGAAGAATTACCATGTCTGTTTCATTGTGTGCCTTGTCATAAATTATTCAATAACATAAACCATGTCAACTGCTATAACTGTCAGACTATGTTGATTTATGAACCATTGAATAGATTGACCTATTGCTTGGAACCATTGACTTAATTTCTTATGTGTTTGCATGCATGCTCTTGACCTCTATTGCAGAATTTTTTGGGGTTTTCTGGGACAAACTTCTCTAGCACAAATATTTTTCTGCAAGATACATTTAATGATAACAAATATTACTAATTTAAGGAAACGTAAGCATTGTGTTGACAAAAGAAAAAGCTATTTGGATTAAATAAGATTTTATGTAATTTTTTAAATGAATATGTAATGTATTTTTATTCTAATATTATGGGCGATATTCTCATATTTTATAGGGAAAAAATACACTAATTATTTTCGCTAAAAATACACTAATTAATAGTTTTAGTAAGTGCTCTGAGTTCTAAGGACCCACAATTTAGAAAGTCTAGTGGAATCACTGAATACTTAGAGATAATGCCTTGCTATGCGTGTTGTATGTTCAACAATTTCTGAAGTTTTAATAATCAAAGCAATAAAATACTCAAACTTTATTCAAATGCAAGGAAGTGAAAGGTTTTAAACAGGAAGCCTCTTTTAAAAATTTTGTGGATGATTTTTTATACATTGAACTTAATATTTTTTTATAATTTAGACCAACTCACATTTTATGCCTTACATTCCTTTTGCTAATGAATTTGACAGTTATTATTTTTTTAAAATTGCTATCCACATGACAATGACCTTGCCTTGTCTGGTTCAATGGGATACCCGCAAGTGATATAGTGTGGGTATCTCAATCCTGATTGGTTGTTGAAATACGGCATTTGTTTATGTTAGCAACTGTTTTTTCCATTCTATTTTGAGTAAGCCAAGCTCAACAAGTTACAATTCTCATAAGTGGTGCGTTCTAAATTCTTTTGCAAAGATTCTTTCTCGAGATTTCAACTACCTAACACAAAAACAGGCATGAAGCCACGCGGAGCATGAACAAACTAATTATGCATCGAAGTTGCCAGGTATGCTAAACAAAAGTACATCCTCTTTACAATATAATACATCAACAAATAATAAATCTAAGTTATGTAAAAGAAGTTGACAAGAAAGAATTATATTTCAACAAATTTGAGGTGCGATGCGGCTCTGCATTTCATCAATTTATCGTTAAACAACATTTTAACTAAAGTAACGAAACTTAGCTCAACTTCAATGCGCCATTTTGCTGATAAATAATAGCTGGTGCTGATGTCATATGTGTGGATAAGGGAGATTTTCTTCTTCTTGAATTGCGAGTACCCAATTATATGTGCTACGTAGGAGGTTGAAGGTATTTTGCATTCATTATATATTAACATCAGTAACAACAAGCACTATGTGCTTTGTTGTTGCCAGGTGTGTTTTAGGGAAACTCTTGTTATTTTTAGTTAGTAAGTACTTTTCAATAAACTTGATTGGAAAATATGTCACTTTGAAAACAAAACTAAAGAAGATAAGTGTTAAAATGATGAGAAATATTCTAAAGTGTGTGCCAAAATTTGTTCATAAAAGAAAAGTCGACGGCCTAAATAATACCCCTGCTCGCGGCACAAACCCTGCAGTGAAAGTAATTAAATTAGGTGGAATGTGATCATTGAGGAAAGTGGTAGTACAGCGCTATCGGGGTATTACAATAACCCAATAGGTTCAAAAGGTCACAGAGTGTGAGGTTTGAACAGATTGGAGAAATTGGTATCACCAAATTTGGAATAAGGGTGAAAACTAAAATGAACCTAATCAAAGATTAAAAGATAAATAATAAGATTATGACATGCTATAACCAAATATAAATATATCATTTAGCACAATTTAGAGATGTTTTTCTTAAGAGAAATTAAACAATTACTCATAACAATAATTATAATTTCTCACCACATACTGGAGAAATAAAAGAAATACCAAAAGGTCACCAAAAGGAGACAAATGAATTCACACATTTCTTTAACTTCACCACAACATTTAATTATGAACAAACTAGCATATTATTTAGTAAAAAAAATATCTTTTGACGCATTTTGTAACACAAGAAAGGCCTTTAATAGAAATGAGTGACAAGAGAATTAAAAAAGAAGGCATTATGCATAAAAATAAAATATAGGCAAACGAAAAATTTAACTGTTGAAAAAAAGAATGTAGAAAGAAAGCTTAAACTTGAGAGGGTCTTTAATGTTAAAGAAACTTAGAGGTATAAATGTAGATATTTAATTTACAAAAATTGATTACGGTCTGTAGATTTACTTAAAATTAAAGGCTAAGAAGAAAAAAAGGATGTAAAAAATGAAATCCGAGAGACGTAAGTCTGCATCTGAGAAAAAGAGGCAGAGTGTACACCCGTTGGTGTCATCAAGCAAGCATGCACCAGAGAGAATGTTGACGTGTTAATGCATCTTAAAAAAATTCTTTAACTGGTGTAGAAACATAAAAGCTTTAGCCAATTAAATTTAAAGAAGGTAGAGTTAGAAAATTAGATGAAAAAAATTGGTTAAGTGAACCCCCCTTCAAAAAATAAATGAAGAAAAAAGAAAGGCAGGATAGAGGGGTATATCTCCCCACAAGAAGTGCAATGATCGTCTTGACCATCGAGGAGAGGGCGAACAGAAAGTTAAAATTAATTTAAACTGCTATTTAAAAAAAAGGGAAATAAATGCAAGGTATAAAAATAAATGCACCTGAAAAGTCATGGATTTCTGTATTGAACAAAATTTGTCATAAAATGTCATGATTTTAATTATTTTTTTAAAAAAATCATGAAAAATCTCATTTTTAAAATGGAATTAACCCCCTAATTTCATGGTGTTCTGAATATCTCAATTTGTAACAAAATTCCCACTCACAGTCATATTTGATTAAAATATAAAATGTTTTCATCATGTTCTTTAAAAAAATGAAAGAAAAAATATAATTTCTGGAGTGAATTATCTTTTAAACTTCTGTGATTTCAGAATTTTTGTTATTATTATTTTATTTTATCAATTTAAAATTTTAGCTGAAGCTAGCCAGTCATTGGCGAATTTTTTTATTCCGAATTGAGAACAGAAAAATCAGGAATATTTCTTTCTTTTCCGATGAACAGTATCTTTAAAATGTAATTCTGCAGAAAAAAAGAAAAAATAATAATTTGCTATTGTAATTTTACTAGCTATTTTATTGTTTCAACTCTTTCTTTATTCTGCTTCTTAAATATAAAATCTATAAATGTGAAGATGCAGAGTATTACAATTTTTGGTTACTCCTATCATTTCAATGAATGTTGTTATAATACTTTAAATTTATTGTTGTGCTTTCTTAAGTCATGAAAAATTCTTGGAATTAGTCATGGGAAATCCTGAAAAGTCATGAATTTGAAAATCTAAAATTTAGCAGATACCCTGTAAATATTTAAGAAAATTGAAAGATTAGATATAATTAAGAATAAATTATTACATTACGCTAAGTGTTCATGTGACATATGCCACAGACAAAAATATATTGTATTTGTGAACAAGGTTTTAAGTTTTTTCAAATTATTTCATTCTGCATTAATAGGATAAAAAAAAAGTTCACTCTCTTGCAGATTTTGGTAAATATAAGTTGTTTTATTTTGCAGTGTGTTAATTCACCAATCTAAGGAAAGTAAAATATTATTTATATTGATTTTTATATCTTTTCTATTACTATTATGTAACTTCTCTTTTCTCTTACTTTTAGGGCACCATTGAAGAGGAGGCATATAAGACTTATGGAACAAGATGCATTGTATGCTCGTAAAACTAAGAAAGAAAATTGATATACATTGAATATAGTATTATTGTTTATTAGCTAATTGTACATGCTATTTAAATTTTATAAAATTGTTTTTCTATTGCAAAGCTTCTGTTTTGTTGTTTCTGTATATTAATTTATGAGAATCAATACCAAGGAGAATCACAAAAACTAGAAATGTTGTAGGCAATGCTCGAATACGCCATCTAGGGAGAAAACCGGTTCCAAGACTTTAGCTCTTTCCTCTTTTCAGTTGTATAGGAATCTACTTCGATGTTTCTTAGCATCTTTCATATTTAATTGTTAAAAATAATGTTTTAAATTTCCATATCGCTTTCTTTTAGGACTATGTTTAATGTAGTTTTTAATTCCATGTAGTTTCCTAACTTAAAAGATTTTAATCTATTTGAAAATCAAGTCAGAAACTGACGTATGTACTTCCTTTTTCTATGACTCTCCACGCGCTAATTGTGAAAGCATGCGCATTGTTGCCTTAGGTAGATTGTTCTGCTGTACTTCAGCCTGTAGCTCATTTTGATTGCCAATAGCAAACTCAATTAATTACCAAATCATTAAAGTGTAATGAAAAAAAAAAACTATTTTCAGGCCTATTTAAGAGCTATTTTTGATGTTGATGAGTAAAAAATTATTAACTGATATAAAATTAAGACAATTTAGTAATATAAAAGTACCATTTCATCCATGTGTATGAACTGCAAGAGATGGGGAGGTGCTCCTTGATATGTATGATAACATTTTCGGAGATGAATTGCTGTGCAATTTCTAATTCTCAAGATGTGCCCCACCTCTCATCCAAATTTGTAACCTTTATCATTAAATAAACCCTAGAAACTGAAGTGGAAAGATATTACCTGATTAGAAACTTCTTTCCCTTCAAAAATATAAATAACAGTCAACATGTTCCAAGCACCTCAAAAATATGGGCACATTTTCAAGACTTGATACATGTGAATGAGAAGAAACAAAAGTGATTTTAAATAAAAAATGTAAAGTTGCATTTGAAAAATAAAGGTGAGAAACAAAACTAGGAAAACCACAATAGACGAGAGAGAAGAAAAAAACCTCAGAGGCCCAGATGGTCAAATCAGGGTAAAATGCATTTCCACTTGCTATGTAGAGGTCGTAAGGAACTAATGGCATAACAAGGGAATCATCTGCATTCATATTGATAAAACAAGATTCCAGGGCATCAAGAAAAGCTGACTTGACTAAGGTGGAAATATGTTCTTTGCTAATTATATTTTTCAGGCAAATGAAGTTCCTAATCAGGTACTTCATTTGTCATGTCTCTGTTAAACGTTTCAAAACTTCTAATAAGGTTAGGGTTAATCCTGGTGACTTGTAATCACATAGTAATGCAGGGTTTTCTGCATTGGCATGTGATATTTCTGAGGAGTTGATTGCAAGAATCGCAGTAACTGTCACAGAAATTCAAGATGAACCTGAATTTTTTTCAGAATAGTTGAAATTACTTTTGTCATAGATGTGAGGTGTGCAAGGAGAAATTCAAAGAATTTCATTTAGTATTAAAAATAGTTATATATAATAGTTATGTAACTATATATGCATGCATAGTTACATATAGTGCCAAATTGGGGGCTCCCTAATGGGCCTAAAATAATTTCCTTTGGCATGATTCTGTAGTACCTTGTAATATAATACCTGGCCAATTTTAAATAATATGGGTTAATATTAAGGGGAGATATATATGTCCATGTATGAATGCTGTATACTCACTTATGAATATTCACTTACCGTCTTTATCTTTATGATGTATATCACTGTTTCAGTATTTCCCATCCTGCATTGCTATATAACTTTGAGCTGTCAGGAAGTACTCTACCCTTCCTATACTACGTTTCATCTTAAGTTGGCACTGCAGGGAATGTAATACTCCGCCTTTGAAAAGTAGTTCTTCGCTGTTTTAGAATTAATTGCAGTTTAAATGCGCATACAAATATAAATAAATGTTGCATAATAAGAAAAGTTTATCTTAAAACATGTATTAGAAGTTTTTCATGTTTAAATGTATTTAACTTATAAATACCTTCTCAGTAAAGTGAATGTACAAAAAAAAGGAGGTGTTTTAGTTTGGCGCTGAATTAGTTTTCAAGGCCAAGGAAATTGCTGTGTTGGCTATACTTTTACACTGGTCAGCCAGCTCTTTCCATTATCCTTGCCTTTGCTTAAGTGTCCTATCTCTAGTGTAGTTCTTATTTCGCTTTCTTTCACTCGCATCGCTTAATTGTTCTTTTTTGTTTTTTATTAGTTTTTAACTGTTAATTGTTTTCACAATGTTAATCTACAATTTGTTGTTTTTTACTAATTATTTATTGTTACCTCGTTTTTTATAGCTATAAATTTTTTTGTGTGCATTAATAGTTAATTTTTTGTTGTGATTCCTTGTTAGATTTTTTTCTTCTTTTTTTGTTGTTAATTACTAAATGTTAGCATGTTTTTTTGTTAGTTTGTATTATTTTGTTACTTATTAATCGATGGCTTCTTTTTTAAGTTATTAATCTTTAGCTTGCTTAAATATATTTCAACAAGCAAATATATTTCAGAAAAAAATTACTTTTACAGTTAAAAAAAAAAAAAAATTTGAATTTTTTATTTATAAAAAAAAGAACAGTAAATATTTACATAAGTATGATATTTTTCATGATCAATAATTTCCTGCTTATTTTGTCTTTTCTTTTCCTCACAAAACGCCAATGTGGGATATGTTAACATTAAATGTACAATAATATACAAAAAATAAGTAGCATATAAAAATAAATATTTAAAACAAAGTATTTACACGCATCTATGCATTTCTTTTTTTTTACTTAGATTAGAGCAAAAAAAAAAAAAACATATATACACCTAAATAAGCAGCAATCCAAATAATCTCTATTAAGGAAGAAAAAAAAGTTCTTTTAATATTTTTTTAAAAATCTTATAGTACTTCATATTAAGAATATTTTCTCAAAGTTTGAACAACATTGCAAGGGAGAAGAGCCTTTGGAAACTCCTCTCATTAGGTTTGAGTAGTTGGCAGCAAATATAGAAAAATAGAGTTTTTGCAAAATTCTATATTTTTTTTAAGTTGGTGGACACTATTCAAATATTAATTCAAAAGTTATTGAAATTTCACACTTATCTTTCAGATAAAATTGACTAGTGATTGAACATGTTTTCTCTGATCCCTAATTATTTCTTGAGGAAGTATAACTGGAATTATTCTCCTATTTTAAGTCACAATATTACTGTATTTTTTGCTAACAGACAAGACAATATTATAAGAGTTTGACTACTACACACTTGATTTTTAAGCATATAGTTCAATGAATTCAATTCAATAGAACTATGTTTTTATGTATGAAAGTAAATTTTTATATTTTGTTTTTAATTACTACTTAGAATACTTTTTAAAACAATTTTTTACATATATTCGGATTTTATAATTATTTTATAAATCCATGTATCTGTTATATATTTAATATTCACTTTAGATTTTTTTTTTGAATTAAAATAAATGAATTTCAATGAACCAATGAGGAAACTGGGTTGTGCAGACATTTTGAGATTTTTGTGGGTGAAACTGACAAAAGTATTTAATTATAATATATTTTGAATATTAATTTTTGTACAAAGAAAAATACAAATGCTTGTACATATTAAAAGTGTTTTGTTCTTTTAAAATGTTAATTACCTAAGGAATTGTGTGTTCTTTTTGTAAAATGTGTTTTTCCAAAATTCGTGTAGTGGTTACTTCACATGATTAATATGATCTGCTGACTAATATTGATTCAGCTAAGTACTATATAATCAACTAAGTGCTATAAATAAGTAAACATAATAAATAATTAAACATAATTCCTCTTAATAAAATAATTTTTTTCCATTAAATGAAAATGAAGAACAGATTTCTTATACGGTAGTTTTTAATTTATTTTTTGAAATATATTTTTACTTAATTGCAGTGTAGTTCAGTTGTTAGTTTTAAATTAATATAAGACAACAGTTTAGTAAACATTATAAAAAAATGTATATTTTTGATTGAAATTATTTTGATTTATATATATTTATGAGCGATAATTTATTTAAACAATCAATTTTATGGCATTATGGATGCCTTATTTAATGGGGCTAGTGTAGTGTGGAAAAAACAAATTGAATTAAAAAAAATATTAACAAAAATACTAATAATGCTAAGAAATAATGAAAATTTTATTTTAAAATGTTTTTTCATTTTAAAATATTTTGTAAGTTTTTAAATCAGTAATTTTTTAAGGAAAATAAGAGAACGCTGAAAAAAATTGGAGAAAATAGGCTTCCCCCCATCCTTTAAAACCTACATTGATGTGGGTTTGAAGGTTTAACTTACTTCGATAAAAACTTATTATCGCACATTTTATAATGTTGGAGAAAATTCTTAACTGTTAATCATTTTACGCGTTATAAATTTGGTTGCGAAAATAATGTATAGGTGGCGTCACTATTTAGTTCTTTTATGTTTTGTATAATATAGAGAGATAGATTATGATATAGAAAGATTTTCTTTACTTAAATTTTGTTTAGATTACAATTCAAAATTTTAATCTATTGTATTGAAAATAATTTATACCTTAAAAAAAAAATTTTTTTTTTACCAAAATATAATAAAAAGTAATAATTTTATTTATTTACTTTTTTTAATCCTTAACATTGAAAAATTGCTCTTATAATATTTTTTTTGTAATGACGTAAATGAGATGTGTAACTTAACATTTTCTTCTTTAATCAGAAATAGTAATTTAAAATTACATATCTTTCCTAGGATAGTTTTTAAAATTTATCAATGAAAAACAGTACAAATTCTTTAAAGATGTGCAAAAAAATATATGTTATTATTATTATTTTTTTTTAAAATTCTGTTACAAAATTTAAAATTATTGAAAATTTTGAAAAAATATTGACAAGAAAAATTGCTCTACTGATAAGAATAGTTAAATTTTTATGCTAATATTTCTTATAACTTCCATGTATCTTAAAATACACACAAAAAAAAGAAAGAAAATTAAACTTTGTTTTATGTAATATGCATTTTAAAATCTACTTTTCC